TAGATCATAAACAAAATATGACCACAGTACTTATTAACAAATACTTAATTTTACTTGCTATAATCCAGGTGCCAGTCAAAATATTTCATCAACATTGGTCCATTTCATCCTTGGTAACCACCTGAGATCTACTTTTGTTCTGTTAACAGTTACCTTAGAGTAACTTCCCATTTTGGAGGGAAACCCCTTAACTAACTATAGGGAGGTCAAACAAGTAGGTGTTCTAAAGGGAGGTCAAATACTGCAGGGAAGTTCATTATGACTGAAAGTAAACAACTTGAAATAGATTCAGGAAGTCCATGAAACTGACTAGATTCTCTATTTACTCTTGAGGAAGTAGGGTTCTACTAGCCAAGCTGCAAAAAAGACTCTCAGCCTAGCACAGCTGCTTGAAAGAAGCAGAGATGAACCAAGCAGTCTAAAAATAGAGAGAGAACCAGCAGAGACCAACCAAATTGGCTAGAAAAAACAAAACCGAGCCAAGCTGCCTAGAAATGGCTTAGACCAATTGAGCTACCTGAAAGGGTACTCTCCAACTTTTTATGCTACCTACAGGTAGGTTCCCAGTTTTTATGAGCTGTCATCCATGCTGGAGTAGGCTTTGGTGATACAGCTGTCTTTGAGTCATTTCTGTTCCTCTAAGTAATCTCTCATCCATATTCCTGTAAGTAACCCCAACAAAACTCATTGGTTCACCAAAGTGGACTTTGGTGTATCCATACTTTGGTCTATCATGGACTATCTATTTGGGGAGAACAGACATGTATGCTCCACAACACCATTTTACTCAATACAAATCTGAGTGAGGAGATAGAAGATAGATAGATAAATAGTAATTTATATGCCTAAGGAGACACAGGTAGCAAGTGGTTAAGCCAGAAACTGGGACTGTTCATCCTTGATTGGAGGATGTTCATAGACCAAACAAAGTTTCTTTTGTGGATCTAATCTTAAGTACGTGTGTAAGAGGGATATAAACATACATCTGCATAAAGGTTCCTGGGAGTGCTCACAGAAGAAACTATACCATGCGTACTTTGGGAGACTATTCAGATGGAAAGGAATGAAGGCCTGTTACATGCCATAATATAGATGAGCATTGGAAACATAGCACTAATTGAGGAAGGTAAATATTTTTAGAATGTGTATTGTCATATTACATGTGCAGGAATATCCCAAACATGGTACACATACCAAGCCAATCCAATGATTGTCTGGGACTGAAACCAAGAGTGACTACCAAGGGGTACAGGGATATATCAGGGGAAGCAGAAATGTACAAAAATGCAAACGTACCATTACAAGGACAAAATGCCTTCGTGTGTGGTTTAGTAATAGAACACTAGCATGGCATGTAAAAGGGCCTGGTTCCAGCTCCAACACTGTTTCAAATTGAGTTTTGTTTGCAAAATTAGTTTATCATACCCAAGGCAAAGGCCCTCCATAGGATCATAGGAAGGAAGGGATTCAGGGTATGCAACTGCCTGAGATTACTGTTTTTCCTAACAAAGTTCAGACAATTTCAGATGATCTATGAGGAAAAAGTTCCAACATTATCTACCAAAGCCAGAGTTCTGTACCAGCCAGCTGAGACTTCTTTACAGAACTCTTCTGTTTTGTAAAGAGTAATTACATGCAGGAGAATTTCTTCACCAAAATGAAATCCTTTCTTTATTATCCCCTAAATACCCCTGCATTATTTTACATTGCAAAATTCATGCCTCCTTAAGCCAATTACTGGGGAAATATGATATGCAATAATGAATTATACGTGTGTTTTCCATGTGAATTTTTCCTCCTCAGGGATGCTAATTATTAAATAAATTGTTGGGGTTTTATGATTTTGAAATGATTCCCTGTCATATCAGAGTCCCTCTTACTACATACAGCTAAGCTAATTGGTGGCTTCCAAAGAGGAAGATATAAATTATTTTCAATTACAGTTGTAAAATGATAAGATAAATGGGGGCCAGTATTATATACAGATTCATATATAAATAGGGGCATATTTATATCATAAAACCTAAGTGAAAATTTAACATATTCTTTGTGTGGGAAATGTTAATGGAGTCCTGGTATAGTCTTGTCCATTTTAAGGCACATGCACCTCCTTTGGCCTTATAACTAAAGTCATTTTTGATAGATTAACATTCCCTTTCATGAGGGGCATGTTTCCACTGTGGGTACCCAGGGATTAACACACAATTCTCTTATTGAAGAAAAGTCCTTTAAAACTGGGACATTATTTACCACAAATAAGGCCAAATTGGTCCATTCTACAACTTTGGTCATTTTAAAGACAGAACAATCTATTACCTGCCATTTGCCATCTATACCTTATTTCAGAACTATAAGGTTATGAGAGCTGTTTCACAGTTCTATCAGACATGTTCCTTTTGATCATCATGTTCCTCCTTAGGGGACCACAACCTTATTAAAAATCAGCACTTCTTTCCAAGGATCAAAATTTTTGCTATAGTTGCTTTTAAACAGGAATTCCAAAAAGCCACAGGTAGCTTGTCAGAGGCCTTATACCTACTGGTTTGGTAAATAGAAAACCAGCTGGTATTATCACCTTTGAATCCAGTCCCTGTCAACGTTTAGAATGTTGCATCACCAACAAGTGGACAAGAAAATGCAGTTCTTCAAACTCACATAAAATACCCTGTTAACCCAGGAAAATTAGTTTCCCTTGGAAATATAATCATAACAAAGTTCAAAGTATTAGAATCCACTATGGTAAAGAGCTATTTTTATGATAGGCCAATAAAATGTCCTAATAAGTTATACATTACCCATGATTTTGACTGGTATGCTACCAACTGTGAAGACATACTTCCATTTCGCTGATTGAGAACCCTTAAGAAATCTCAGCAGAATTCTTTGTCTACCCAACTTGTAAGAGGCTAAGAAGAAAGTAGGGCAATATTGGTATAACAGATAGCTGCCCAAGTATATCACCATAACAAAGTTAAAGCATTTTAAAGTCAAGGACAATACTTCATCTGTATTAAGAATCAAAATGGATGGAACTTGAGACAATCATCCCAAGTGAGGTAACTTAGCCCCCCCCCAACAAATATTGTATGTTTTATATTTGGATGTTAGCTTTTAAGTTTTAGATATGTTTCAATATGAAAAAAAAAACGTGTAAGTTAGGTCCCTGAGTTAGGGACCAGGAGGGAAGAGAGGACCTTCCAAAGAAGGGGAAATAAGAGTATAGTGTAATAAAGAGGTAAAGGGGAAACTAAAATAAGGATGATTAAATAAGGAGGAAGAGGTAAAGGAGGGAATATGGAGATGGACAATTAACACTAAAAGCCTTTGAAAAGTCACATAGAAACTTGCTACTCTAGAAGCTTCCTAAAATATATCCACATAGAAAACTAAGTTAAAAAGAATCACTATATAATGGGGGAGATAATATACCAACTAGACATCATATGTTACCAAGTAAAACCTTCACTGCTAAGAATGGGTTACATCTTGTTGAGTCATTGACCAAAGGGGTCCTGTCCCATAGAACCCCCAAACACCACTGGTATGGTTACTCTCCAAATCTGATGGAATGTCCTATTGCTGAACATACAACTTCCTTACATCATCAAACATGGAGATATCAACCTGGTGCCAATTAGAAGATTTTTAAATTAATGTATTTAATGTACACTGGTGTAGCTGTGTGACGGTGTTGGATCACCTGTAATTGTAATTACAGATAGTTGTGAGCTACCATGGGGGTCCTGAGAATTGCACCCAGGTCCTCTGGAAGAGCAGCCAGTGCTCTTAACCACTGAGTCATCTCTTTAACCCCCCAACTAAAAGTTTTACCCCTACTGATTAGTGTTCATGATGCTAGAAATTACAGTAGCAGAGGAGAAAAGCAAATATCAATATTACCCAGCTATAAACCCTGCCACCTATGACAGTGACCTGCCCTGCAAGATAAACTGGTACAATAGTGGCACAAATGTTATGGGAGTAACCAATATATTTTTCAATTGGATTTAAGACCCATTCCATGAAATGGAACCCATACTTAACACTGTCAAGAACATGAGAAAATAGATGGGTCATGGGCCTAAGGGAAAACCTACTACTATTATTTTGTTAAAGGAACACAGTATTAAAATGACTCCCAATGACATACTGCTATATCTGAAGATCAATGTTTTACTCAACCATCATCAGTGAAGATTCTTCTTGTAGTAGGTGGGAATTAACACAAAGACCCACAAATGAACAATGTGCAGAAAGTGAGATACTTTGGAACACTCAGCCCTAAATTGGGATATCTTTATCAAGCCCCTCCATTAAGGCTCAGGAATCTATGCATAAGAGGAGGCAGAAAGATTGTAAGAGCCAGAAGTGGTAGGTGACTCCAACATCTTCCAGACACAACAGGAATGATACATATATGAACTCACAGAGACTGTGACAGTATGCCTAAGACCTGCACAGGTTCAAAACTGACAAAAGTCCCAACACTGAGAACAAGTAGAAACAAAGTCCCACCCCTAACCATGAAGCTATTTGTAATCGATACCTGCTGGGAAAGGGAAAATCTTAGATTGCCGTTTGGTATATCAACTACAGTCTAGGGCAGGCAGGGCCCATACCCAGGAGTAACTGGCCAACATGAAATAGATTCCATGTTTTTACACACTTTTGTTTTAGTATTTTTGTTTTACTATTTTTTCAAGATTGTTTGATTTTCATTTTGTAACACACACACACACACACACACACACACACACACACACACACACACAGAGAGAGAGAGAGAGAGAGAGAGAGAGAGAGAGAGAGAGAATGCATGAAGTTGGGTGGGTAGGAAGAGGAGAAAGAAAAGTATATGATCAAATTATATTCTATGAAAAAAATCTTAGATAAACTTAAAAAATCAAAGGTGACCAATAAGTAGTTCATATATGACCACAAATTCAGAAGGAAAGCTTAGATCCAAGATGGCATCACACAGTCAGCTCTACTCTGCTTACCTGCAAAGGTCTCAGTGCATGGGTTAATTCCTGCAAGGCGTTTAGATGTTCCAAAATCAGAGATTTTTACCACTCCACTATAGGTGTTCACCAGAACATTATCACCCTTTGGAAAAAGAACAGCATTGAGTGTGTAAAGGCAGATTTAAGCAAACTAGCACCCTATAGTGTGGGCCCTCTACAAAGGCTGGACCTGACATAGGATAGGGTGGGGTTATCCTGATAAGCTGTCTCCCTCTGTGAGCAGACTATTCCACCATACTATAGTGAAGGCTTAGAAAAACACCACTTTGATGGCTTAGACAAGAAGCCCATACCTTTATGTCCCTGTGAACGATCTGGTTTTCATGGAGATACTTCAGGCCTTCCAGGATCTGTTTGGTATAAAACTTGATAGTGGGTTCCTTCATTGGTCCCCATTTGGATCGCAAGAGAGCAGAAAGGCTTCCTAAAAGTGGCACAGCAAAACCAAACCAAACCAAAGCAAACAAACACAAAAGGAACCAAACCAAAAAAATAAAACAAAAACCAACAGGATGATAAAGATTCATTTGTAAGGGGTCAAGGAAGTAAACTCAAGTGGTATTTTTAACCCTAAACAAGTATTCAGATACTGATGATCACTATTCAATGAAATGCTATGAGATTTATTATTATTTCAATGCTCACTCATTTACCCAGCTCTTGCTCATTGCCAGGCACCTTTCCAGAAGCTCTTACATATATCATCTCATTTCACCTACTCGATGATTAGCTGAGGTAGGGCTATTTAATATCCTAGTGATATTTACTTAAAATATTATGTAATTACTACTCCAATTCTTACAGTTTATTTACTTAACCAAAAAATTGAATCTTAATGGCTAGACACATTCAAACTACCAGTTAAAGATCCAAACAATTACTTTTTTTTGTTTTTCAAGACAGGGTTTCTCTGTGTAGCTCTGATTGTCCTGGAACTGGTTCTGTAGACCAGGCTGGCCTCAAACTCACAGGGATCCACCTGCCTCTGCTTCCCGAGTGCTGGGATAAAAGGCCATCGCCATCATCTGGCCAAAAAATTACTTCTAATACTCTATTGCCTACATGTAGGGATTTGCTACATAACGCACTGGTATCTGGTTTTATTATCCATTTGTTATTTTGCAATATCTCTTTAAAAGTAACTATGTCCAATGTGATATAAAAGTGTGTATTAGTGATACCAGGTATAAAAACGTTTAAAGGTGGTGAGATAGGGAGATGGAGGAAAGGTAGGGATAGTGGGAACACATTATTTTGTAAACTAATTAAAATTTAATTTAAAAAAATATCTGAAGGGAGGTATCCTGCATGGGTGGGTAATGATGCTCCCAGAATCCATAAATCTTTCAAAATTAATTTTATTCTATGTGTATGTGCATGCAGGAGCTTACAGATGTCAGAAGAGCATTTCAGATCCTTTGAAACTGGAGTTATAGACAGTTGTGAGCCACTATGTGGGTGCTGGGAGCAGCAAGTGCTCTTAAACACTAAGCATCTCTGTAGCACAAGCCATAGGTTTTTAAATGAAAACTCCAATGTAAGGTATCATACCTCTCTATGACTTGCTTACTAGCAAGGCCCCAGAGATTTTGAAAACAAAATAGTCTATTGCCATTGCTCTCGGTTGCCCACCAGAAGTAGTTACTAAGACTACTGCTGAAGACACAACATATTTTGTTTATAGGACATAAAGAAATCAAGCTGGAACTGACCAGGAAACTACCTCTCTGCTAGCTACTTTTCATAGGACTATAAAGTGTTATGCAGGTTGGTAGAGAAGAAAGATGGTATACACACTGGTTAAATCCTACATACTCCAAGGCCAGGTGTTGGTGGTGCATGCCTTTAATCCCAGCACTCGTGAGGCAGAGGCAGGCGGATCTCTGTGAGTTCGAGGCCAGCCTGGTTTCCAGAGCGAGTGCCAGGATAGGCTCCAAAGCTACACAGAGAAACCCTGTCTCGAAAACAAAAACAAATCCTGCACACTCCAATATTGACCAGAAAAGCCACTATTACTGAGGCAATAGTGGCATATTGGTTATGGGGGGGCAACCAATCATTTTCTGTTGGATTTTAGTTCTAGTCCCCAAGAGGAAATAAATGCCTGGTACTGTAAATCTGACCAAAAGCCTATGACTGGGTAGATCATAGGCCCTAGAGGAGAATCTATTACTGTTGCTTAGCTAATAGACATGTCAATTTGCCTTATATGTATTTGTGCTTATACCCAAAGATGAGTGCTGCTCTCAGACTTGGTGAGAGAAGTCTTTTGGTAGCAGGCAGTGGTTAATGCAGGCTCATAACTGGTCAAAGTACTGAGAATAAATAATTGCTGAGTGCTGAGTCCTAAATGAGACCCATCTATCACTCTTCTCCAAGGACTAGAGAACATTACGGAAGAGGTAATAGAAAGAATCTAAGACCCAGAAAACAGGGAGGAATGCTAAGAAACAATGTCATTTGAAATAACATGTCCATTGCAATTATAAACACACAGAAAATTAAGTTACCTTGAATATGAGCTGCATAAGATTGGGTCATTCAATATTCCATCATGGATAGGGGAAGGCCAATGAGACTATTAGCAATTAATAGTTGTGGAGGCGACTTTCTTTAGTGGTGTAGACACTGACATGTTACCCATGCTCTAATAACAAAAAAACAAACCCTAAACATGCTCATTTAAGCAACCTAATTAAACCCAGTGTATCACAAAAAAGATGTGAAAGAAAGAGAATTAGCTGGGAAGAAAAAGGGTCAGCAGGAGGGAAAAAGAGACAACACAGGATAATGTAGATAAATAATAATATTATTCTATGCATGTATAAAACTATAAAAAAGCTCCAGTGTCCCTTTTCCCAAACCACCTCTAAATTCCTAGACCAAGAAGAGCTGAGGTCAAGGCCAGAGATTTTGGTCTTCAACTCTTTGTCTCCAATGTTAGCACTCAGTAGATAGTGGGTGAGTATTTTAGGCTGATTAAATAAGCCCCAAATAAACTGTTTATGTGACCTTTGCAAAGTTGTATAGAACTCTTCTGAGAAACCAACATTTTCCAACCTCCAAAAGGTCTGTCATTTGTTAGACGTTGAGACAATCAGTGATATCCATATTGTATTCTCATAAGTGATTTTCAGAATGTGAGATCAAAAGAGAGTGACTAACTTACCTCCAGGCACCTGTTCCATAAATATCTTAATGTAGCCATTCTCCGAAACAGAGCCCAGGTACTGGACAATGTTGCGATGCTTGAGATATTTGTGTAGGGCTATTTCTTCATGCAGAGGCTGAGAGTATCTATTGCAGAAAAAAATAAAGCATGCACCACCTGCAAATCCCAGGGTTCTAGGCCCTAGTAGTCCTTTCATAGTATCTACCCTGCTGCTAACCATCCCTTCTAGGATCTCTTCCTCAGCTTCCATGAGAATATTCATCTTTCTACCTGTAAAACATGGGATACAGGCTAAATATACCTAATCCAAAAATCTATATGATCAAAAACATTTTGAGTATCAACATGACACCAGTAGAAAATGTCACACCTAACATTGTGTGCTGGCTCATTGTCAAAATTCAGACACAATAAAGTATTATCTAAAAATGCCTCCAGGCTATGTGTACAGGGAGCACAAAGGAATATTGTGTTTAGATTTGGGTACTATACCCTACAGGTACCTTACTACACACAGCATTCTAAAATTTGAAAAAAAAAAACTTATCTGAAACATTTCTTGCTACTTGTCATAAGAATTTCAGATAAGGAATATTCAACCTGTAACAATATAGCCATGTAGTGCTTCCAGGGGAGTAGAGTGACTTAAGTTTCTCAGGCATTGATGGAGGGACTGTTACATGGTAAACACTCAATTAATGGCTACTATTTCTACCGTAACTATTGCTTGGGCACAGATTCTCCAACAAAGTTTCACCTCTTTCAACAATCCTCTTTTTCCCATGGAAAGTGGTGGTCTAGAAAATTCTGTCCTAAACTGACTTACTCTACAGACTCAACCCATAACTAATGAGTTGTTAGCTTTAGTCTTTGGACTTTCAAGCTTTCATGAAACAACTCCACGTAAAGACCATACTGTTTAAGGTGGCATACAAGGACCTTCCAAATCAGGTCAGACAATACCTTTCACATTTTTGCCTCATGAGTCCTTCACTAGCCCATACCCTACATTCAAGCTTTATATAAACTGCTTTCTCAATGTGTGTTTGTTTCTTAACAGTTCTGTTTTACCCTCATAGGCCCCATTTTCTACTTATTCCTCAATAAACCAGCTTGAAGATGATTTGTTCTCTTAAACTTGACACAGCTCATCCAGCTCAGTCCCCCCTGTTTTCCAAAAACACTTTGTGTACCCTTCTATTATAGCACCAGCACCTTTCATTTTAACTCATGGACACAGTATCTGCATTCTCCACCAAAGCAGCACCCTAGGATGGGGACAGAATCCTGGTCACCTTTTATTCCCTAGCACCAATTCAGATTCATGGATGGAAAACATTCCCAGTCATCCTAAATTCAGCTCAAAATTTACAAGTTCGACAAAATGGCCTCTGAGGCCCTTTCCAGCTCAAATATCATCCCAGGAATTTTCGTAGGCAAGGAAAAGTAGGAACAGTACTACCAATGGAGATACATGCCAGGAGTACTCCCAAATCTATGCAACTTCAACAGCTTATGTATCACATGAATAAGGGAAAATACTGGATGACGGACCCTTTTGGGAGTCCCTTAATCTCCTTCAAGCTTGGTTTCCATATTGGTAATATGAAGAAGTCAGATTAGTTTGTTTCAGGTCTTCATTATAATTCATATACTATATTATTCCACTGAAAATGAACAAATTAGTGAATGGATGGTCACATAGTTGCTAGAAATTCTGTGTAACACAGACAGTGATCACCCAGATGGAGAGATGTATGCACATATCCATTAGCACCCAGAGCTGGAGGAAACACTGTCAACTATGGTGGATGTGTCTGTGGCCCATGATTATTTCTATTGCGGTCATGATTACATGTATAGCTTCTCTACAGAATCACTCAACAGTAAGCACTGCTGTGCTTTTGTTTAGATTTAGATAAGGTTTAAATATAAAATGAATTGAAGTAAGTACAGGAATTGGGTGGGTAGGGAAGTGGGGCAGATCTGGGAGGACTTGGGGGAGGGGAAAGAATATGATCAAAATCTATCACATGAAAATTAAAAAAAAATGTAATAATAAAATTCCTAAGTTGTAGTACTGATGGTAGAAAAACAGTCCCAAATCTATGGGCAAGGTTAAAGACCACAGTTATTAACAAAAGTTGTATTGTGAAACTCTGATTTTTAACTGCATTTAAATTCTGTAATAACATATCCACACAAATCATAGCCATTTTCAATTGTTACAGTGTAAATTTAAAAGCACTCAGTAAAGACTGGAGATGTAGCTCAGTGGTAGAGAGCTTTTGCCTAGCATGCTCAGGGACCTGGGTTCTAGCCCCAGCACTGAAAAACAAAGAGAAAAAAATTCTCAGTTATATTTTAAAATATTTTCAAATAGCTGCATAAAATGTAAAATTTCAGATATAGTTGTGGGTAGAAATACAGTTTTCCTTTGAAATATGACCTTCTTTAATCCACAAACTTCTAAGTATTTTGATTTTTTCCATGTGTTAATACTATAAGAGAACAAAAGCATATCATCCTTATAATAAGAGCATTACAAGCTCTGACAACATAAGGTAGCCGCATCATAAGGCACAGATTAAATGCTTACACCATCAGTGGTAGGCTTGGGATACAGATTATTAAGATATAAAATGCAGAATGCAAAAAAAGAGAAGAAAGGAAAAGAAAAGAAAATGCAGAATACCGAAGGCAGTCCCAACTTGCCTGATATCTCTCTCTGGGATTTCCTTGATGGCTATTCGTACTTGATTACTGAGATCTCGGCCAGCATACACAATCCCATAAGATCCTTTCCCCAAGACAATTCTTTCCCCATTCACATCATGGTCATACTCATACTAAACAAGGCAAAACAACAGGAATAAAAAAGACAAAACACAACGTATCGAAGAGAAGCCCCAAATCTATCTAACAAGTTTTTCAAAACTATAAATTTAGCATTATTTGAGTGCCAAGCAAAATATGCTTCTTAGGCTTTACACTTTTCATTTAACAATTATTCTTTTCATTTAACAATTATTCTCATCTGTTCATGTATTTATAGAATGACTTAATGAAATGTAATTCAGGAAAGTTAGAATAAAATAAGCTGGGCGTTGGTGGCACACGCCTTTAATCCCAGCATTCGGGAGGCAGAGGCAGGCGGATCTCTGTTAGTTCTAGGCCAGCCTGGTCACCAGAGCGAGTGCCAGGATAGGCTCCAAAACTACACAGAGAAACCTTGTCTCGAAAAACAAAAACAAAACAAAACAAAACAAAAATAAGACTCACCTGTAAATTACCTGGCTTACCTTCTGGAGATTTGTCATCATTTTAATGCTGCAATTTAAAACTTTCTAAGCATGTTAAGTACCACAAATCAATATCTTCCTGCATGACAACTTGTCAGGAAACAACCCTTTCAGTAGCTCAGGAAAGAAAAGTCAGTAAAAGTTAACATCTTAATATCATATACACATGTTGGGACGAGCCCCTTTCAGTCATATGGATCTAGCACATACATTTTACAATCAGGATTACTAGTCCCTTTCACTCCTCTTATCAAAACCTATTGTGGCCTCACTGGATGTGGTAGTGCATGCCTATAATTCCAGCATTCAGAAGGCTAAGACAGGAAGTTCATGGGATCTCAGGGTTAGTATGGACTACAGAGAAACACCTGTTTTAAAAAGCAAAAACAAGGCCAGTGAGATGGCTCAGTGGTTATTGGTGCTTACTGTGTAAGCCTGGTGATTGGAGTTCAACCCCCCAAAACCCATAGAAGGAAGGAAGGAAGAAAGGCAGGAGGGAGGGAGGGAGAGAGGGAGGGAGGGAGGAAGGAAGGAAGGAAGGAAGGAAGGAAGGAAGGAAGGAAGGAAGGAAGGAAGGAAGGGAGAATCAACTCCAGAGTTATCCTGTGACCTCCACACATAACACGCATATTACATACTAAATTGAACATGACAACTATAGTAAGCCACTGCATGCAGCTACATTAAAATTTATTCTTGGTAATGATTAAAACAAAGGTGACAGTAGTCTAAGCAACTCATACGTAAAACAGAGAGAAAGCAGCTGGGCGTTGGTGGCACATGCCTTTAATCCCAGCACTCGGGAGGCAGAGGCAGGCTTGAACTCTTTGAGTTCAAGACCAGCCTGGTCTACAAGAGCTAGTTCCAGGACAGCCTCCAAAGCCACAGAGAAACCCTGTCTTGAAAAACCAAAAAAAATATGTATGTTCCTTCCTATATGCCTTTAAAGATGCTCATGACAATACACAATTAAGATGACCAAAGGCTCTCCACTGTCTTACAGACTTATTTCACTCTTTCCCACATGTTATTTCTATAACACATTGATTGTAAGCCAGTAATTCTTGTACCTGACCCAATTACTAAAATGAACCCTTTTTATACTTTTTGAAGAAAACCTTAAGGAATTAATTTCAGTCTAACTTCAAAAATATAATAAAATCTCAAGAAATTGTAATTACTGGGAGAACCTGAATTACTGGCAAATCTGAATGACTGCAAGATTAAAACACAAATAAATGATGTAGTCTTTGTACACCACTGTGCTTGCCAAACATGATAATGTCATTTCCCTTAAAGTGGTTTAAACTTTGATTTATTTAATATACCATGTGCAAGTAGTCCATTTAGAAAAAAATCTGTTTACACCTTGTCAACTTTTTTCTCTTGGAGTCTCAAATACTATTAACCTAGAAAAATATACTTTTCATAGTTATGCATAAAGGAAAACTTCATGTAATCCATGGCCATTTAAAAAATATTCTGACTGACAGGATCCCATGATCATAAGATTCTTCTACAGAGACACTTTAAACTTAATTTCTGACACCTATGGACAAAGATGTCTGGCTGGTTCAAAGGTATCTTTAACTATATTCAATAGAGGATTCACATGAAAATTGGAACATTTTTCTCTAAGCACCAAAGGTATATTAAATGATGTTTTTCTTAGTTCTGGGTCTTCTGTGACTTACCTCTAAGGTATCTCCATCTGCCTCTCCCTCCAACTCCACTGTACTGCCCACTCCATTGTTTAGCATCTCTTTGACCAAAGAGCAAAATCTAGAACAGCAAATTCCATAGAATACCACCCATCAGGATCACTCTTTCCCCTTATATTTAACTTAACCTTATTGTATTACATTGTACTTAAACATAAAATAAACTCCCACAAGTTATGGAACAATCATTCTACTCTTGATTTGACATGGTACTTTAGCAATTCTCCAATCTAGTTCAAAACATACTTGATGCCTAAGTCCTCTCTATGAAGTATCTCTATTAACTAGTTGGTTATTGATGCCAAAGTACCTCTCTTAAATGCAGTACATAAGTAAAACACAAGAACAGTTTCTCTTCTAGTAAACTGAGAAATTCTTTTTTGTAGGCTCCAACCATAGACTAGCACTAACTACATTTTGTGTATAGGTACCACATTTCTTTATTCATATTGCAGCTGATGGACACTTAAGACTTTCTATGTTTTGATATTAAGTGCTGCGATAAACTTGAGAGTACTGATGTGTCTTTGACAGACTGAGGTCAGAATAGAGATGTGATTACCAAAGTGGAGGACAGCAGAGGACAGGAATGGATAAAATAAGATGACCAGGGCCTGGAGAGATGGCTCAGTGGTTAAGAGCACTGACTGCTCTTCAGGGGACCTGGTTCCAGTTCCCAGCACCCACATAGCAGCTCACAACTGTCTGGAACTCCAGTTCCAGGGGATCTGATATCCTCATATAGACATGAAAGTAGGCAAAACACCAATGCACATAAAACAAGAATAAATAAATCACTAAAAAAGAAAGAAAAAGATGATCAATGGGTACTAGGCTATATCACCTTAAGATAGAAATGTAGACCAATGGAATAGAAGTCTGGAAGTAAGCACTATAAATTTAGAGGGCCAACTCATTTTCTAAGAATGCCAAGATTATTTGATGGAGAAAAGAATATTCTTTTCAACAAATGGCACTAGGACAATCAAGTACTATACAAAAAGTTCAGTTATATTCCTGTTTTATAGTATATTAAAAATTAATAAAAGGGATGGTGACATAACCCTTTGGGTAAATTCTCTTGCTGCCAGATCTGAAGACTTAAGTTTAACCCCTGGGATCCACATGGGGGAAGGAGAAAACCTATTCTAGCAAGTTGTCCTCTCACCTCCATGTGAGTACCCACCCTCAACAATAATAAGTAAAATGAATTAAAATGAACCAGAGACCTAGATCTGAAAGCCAAGCCTATTAAATTTATAGAAGAAAAAATAAGAACCATGGAGTACCTCAAATCAGGCAAAGCATTTTTATTTAAATTTAGTATTTTATTTATGTGTGCTTGTGTGCCTGCTAATCAGTACATATACCATGTGTGTGCAGTGATCATGGAGGCCAGAAGAGGACAATGGATCCCTTGGATCTGGAGTTAGAGGTAACTGTGAGCTGCTTGCTGTGGCTCTCTGAAAGCTCTTCCCACCCCCACCACTCTGCAGACCAGGCCGGACTTGAACTCACAGAGATCTGCCTGCCTCTACCTCCCAAGACCTAGGATTAAAGGCATGCACTACCACTGCCCAGCATCTGCAAGTATTCTTAACTGCTGAGCAATCTCCAGCCCCCAAAACCTTAACTATAAACAAAAAATCAAATGAAGAGAAAAATGGATAAACCTAATAATTACAAATGTTTGTGTTGTAAATGATACTATTAGTAACATGAAAAGACAACCAAAGAATGGGAGGAGAAAATCTTAGCAAATTGTATCCGGGTATGTATGGAGAATACATAAATAAACCATAATAAAAAGACAAATAGCCTAACTAAAAGTAGACAAACATCACTTTCACTAGTTGATTCAAGTTAACATCACAGGAATAACAAAAACTATTGACTGTGATGGTTTCAAAGAAAATGACCCCCAAAGGAAGTGGCACTATTAGGAGGGGTGGCCCTATTGGAGGAGGTGTGATCTTGCTGGAGAAAGTGTATCACTGTGGAGGTAGGCTTTGAAGTATCAAAAATGCTCAAGTCACGCCCAGTAAGACAGACCACTTCCTGTTGCCTGCAAGATACAGAACACTCAGCTACTTCTCCAGCACCATGTCTGCCTGCATGCCACCATGTCCCACCACAATGATAATGAACTGAACATCTGAAGTAAGCCACCACCTCAGTTAAATGTTTTTCTTTGTAAGAGTTGCTGTGGTCATGGTGTCTCTTCACAGCAACAGAAACCCTAAGACATCGAGTATCCTCTGATATGAGGTATTAAGTAATACACAGTATCTTTTTTGTGCTATTCCTACCCTCAAATACATAATACACATATATAGTTATGATGAAACAGCAAACAAACCCTAAGCTAAAGGACTTTCCAACATATAATATCTATACTCTTTGCAAGTATTAAATCTTCAAGATGTGAAAAGACTATAATATACTGAGATGGCAACTAAATGCAGCACATGATCCTAGATTGGACTGCAAACCAAAGGTAAAATACCTTGCTTTGCTAAACAAAAACATTAGGAGCAAAATAAATAAAATTTTGTATGTACTAGATTATGAGCCCATGGCTATCTTAATTCCTAATTATGTAATTATAGTAAGTATATAAGTGAAGATTTTTTGTTTTTAGGAAATACACTGGAATATTTAGAGGCAATGCACCATTATTTCTTTTTTCTTTTCTTTTATTTTTTTTTTTTTTTTGGTTTTTTGAGACAGGGTTTCTCTGCGAAGCTTTGGAGCCTATCCTGGCACTCGCTCTGGAGACCAGGCTGGCCTCGAATTCACAGAGATCCACCTGCCTCTGCCTCTGCCTCCCGAGTGCTGGGATTAAAGGCGTGCGCCACCAACGCCCGGCATGCACCATTATTTCTATGGCTTACTCTTCATTATTTTAGAGAAATCTATGTGTATAGTAACAATGTAATATAACTGAAACGAAAAGGTAGCATTAAGGAATTCTGGGAAAAGCATGCTTGGAAATTCTTACTACTTTACTGAGACTTTCCTACAGCTTTCAACATTTTTCTGAAATATACTATTTTTTTTTAGTTGGGCAAAGGAGTTGAACACACCTTTCTTTAAAGAGGATACAAAAGTGTCCAACCAACATATAAAAAGATGCCTAGAATAATTTGTCATTAGGGAAATGCAAACCAAACACAATGAGATTCAAACAAATATTGATAATAATAGCTAGAACTGAAAGAACAAACAATGAAGGGACACGGAGGCAAAGACATTGGAACCTTCACATATTGCTAATGGGAATGTAAAGTGGGACAAAAGTTACCTTAAAATTCAGTATTTTGATGCCAAAAAATCTATAAGCTTGTGTACTCACAAAATTTGCATATGGATGTACACAGAAGTAATATTCACAATAACCCAAAAGACAGAAGCATCCCACATGACCAGCAACTGATGAGCAGACAAATAAAATGCATCATACTCAGCTCCCAAAGCATCAAAGTATTGATACTGGTATGCCACAGAAGACTCTTTTGAAAACTGGATGCTACTGAGAGGTAGCCAGGCATGAAAGGCCACATATTATGCCACAACATGAACACAGATGTCCAAAATGGACAAATTCATAGAAAGTAGCAGGTAGTTGTATAGGGCTAAGGTTACAGAGGGTGAGGATAGGAGAAAATGGTAAGTGAATATTAACTGCTACTGGGTTTCCTCTAGGAATAATTAAAAATTCTCAAATTATATTGTGATGGTTGTAAAAGTCTAGAACTACGTTAAAATCATTATCTTACACACTTTGGATGGTTTGATGCATGTGGATTCTATCTCAATGCTGTAAAAACAATTGTCTATGAATTAAAATTTTGAGAAACATAGTAAGTCAATAAATATTTTAATAACAAAGACCCTTTAAGTTCATCTGTCATAAATATACTGCAAATACCTAAATTAGCTGTAACTCACCTATTACACTGGTCTTCAGTGGAAAAGTAGATTTGAAAGTCATCAGAATTATCATGGACATAAAGAAAACAGCACCGTTCATCAAACTTGGATAGGCTGTAAAATTTCAAAACGTAAGAATGCTTATAAAAAGCCAGGTTTGGTGGCACATGCTTTTAATCCCAGCACTCAGGAGGAAGAGACAGGTAGATCCCTGCATTTGAGGCCAGTCTGATCTACAGAGCAAGTTCCAGGACAGCCAGAGCTACACAAATCATAACAAAAAGAGAATGCATATACATACACATTATGATGCTTGTTTTAATTTTTAAAGAAAATCTAAAAAATGATTTTCTTTCATTTTCTAAGTTCCTGATTTTATTAATCATTATTTTTTGTTGTTTGTTTTTGGTTTTTTGAGAAAGCATTTTCTATAGCTTTGGAGATTGTCCTGGAACTCACTCAGTAGATGAGGCTGGTCTGGAACTCACAGAGATCTGCCTGTCTCTGCCTCCCAAGTGCTGGGATTAAAGGCGTACACCACCACCACCCAGATATTAATCATTATTTTAAAATTATTTTTATTTTTAAACTATGCATACATGTATGCCTGTGTGTGCAGGTTCTGCAGAGACCAGAAGAAGCTGTGGGATCCTTCAGAACTGGAGTTACAGATGATTGTGACCCACCCAACATGGGTGCTGGGACCTGAATCCAAGTCTCTACAAGAGCAACAAGTGCTCTTGACCACTAAGCCCAATTCTAGGCCCAATGATTCATTAATCTTTTAGAAAATATTCCCACAATTTGCCTGTTTTTTTCTCTATGAAATATAAAATTAGAGATACTTATATTGCAAAAAATCAATGACTTTAACATATATAAAGAGATTCTTCTATATCAGGGCAAAGAAAACATAGGCAACAGAAAAGGCTAGAAAATATTATCTCTGTCTTCTAGGAGTTTATAATCTTACAGAAACAGAAATGTAAGGGTATTTATGAAATAATTAGTCTCAAAGGAATTTCTACCCTTGGAAAGTATCAGGATACAGGAGTATTCATGGTCATGCAATATAAACTTGAGAAAGACCTTTGAATGTTTTCTATTCTATTTCCACCCAATGCGGGGACCTGACTTACAGAGCTTCAAACAAGCAATATTCAGTTTGATTAAACACATCCAGTAAATGAAAGTCACCACACTCTATCTACTTTACAGATTTTGCTGTTGGAAAGTTCACCCACATTGGGTCAATGTGTAATGACCCTCATTCTACCAGGTGGCACTAAAGAAAGATCAGGCCAGTTTACCATCTATACAATTAGCTCTTTAAACAACTGAAGCCACTTTATCTGGCCTCTTGTTTGTCATTTCTTTTGATCCAGATCCCATTTTTTTGTCTGTTTGTTTTGTGATAAGGTATTGCTGTAGCTCTGCACGATGCTGAGCTTGCAATGTAGCTTCAGCTGGACCTCCAATTCATGATTTTCTGGCTTTAGCTTACCAATAAATCAAAAATTTTAAACTATTCTTAATGCTATAGATGACCCAGAAAGATGAATTAAAACAGCAACAGCTCAGGGTGACTCAAAAAAAATTCAATCCAGGTCACAAATGAGCCAGTTCTGAAAAACTATAAAAAAATAACTACCATAGGATCCAGAGCATACCTGTTATGTTATGCCCGTCCTGAAATCTGAGTCACTGCCCTATGTAAATCCCTGCTGAAGGTCACAATTACAATTTTTTGTACAACACTGATGCCACGTAAGATAGTCTTGAAAACGTGTTTTGTACTATCTTGTGGTTTCTAGGCTGTATTATCCAAGTATACCATTCTTCCATTCAAACATTGATGTGTTCAGGACAGGATCATGCTGGGTGTGAAGGGATTCATTCATTGGTTTTTGAGTTAAGTCTTATATTTAGAGAAAGGACACAAAACTCTAGTCTACGCTCCTGATTTGATTAAAACAGAAAAAGCAAAAACCTATAGAGGGCAAGTGATTTTACAGTGTCACATAGTAGAACGCATATCTACTCAGCAACTCCCACCTTTGGACATCCTGGCATGCTGATTAGGACAGCTGAGGAATGTTAGCCTGGCTTAGGGTAAGCCTTGAAAGCTTGCCATTCCTGATCCCAAAAGCCAGTTGCATACTTCTTGGGTTATAACATCCTTGTCACTATTAACATTACTCTTGCCTCCAGAGCTCTGTCCAGGAGGCCCTACTGAAGTACTAGATGCAAGTAACTCCTAACTTTATTTCAGACCTTGGGGGATGATGATGGTGAACATTTCAATGTTTTGGTTTTTAAAAGATATTCTTTGTTCACTCAAGAGATAGAACTTCTCCTTAAAGTTTGATAGCCAATCATTTCTTCTACTAGATTAGAAAAGTTACCATATTACAAGTCAAGAGGTTCTTATTAGCATCACACTATGAACTTCATATAGGGCAACAATAAAGAAGTCTGTTAGGTTCTGTTAAAAATAAAGACATCATATCTTATAAATAAGTGAAAACATCATAGCACATTAGATACAATATTATCTGTATTTAAACAGACAGTTATATTTTCTCTTGTGTTCTTACCTTATTCCCTTAATAGAAGAGGGTGTAAAATTCCACTCATGGATTTGTTTCTGCAAGTATAAAAGATCAAAGTCAATAGCTTAATTTTTTTCTTAATAAAGTATTATTTCTGCTTCTTTCTAGTTTGTTTTCAACAGTGATTAGGGTTATAGCCATGTACTTTGCCTAACTTGGAACACAGAACATTTTCTGAGATATGAAAATTTGTGTCTCTGATCCAGTTTAGAGCAAACAATATAAACTTGAAACACATAGCTTGAGATAGATAACTACCCACACAAAAACACACATTGAGTAGTCTTTCATCTTCTGTCAACACATAGGCAACTCTGAAATAGCCTTAGGATAGTCCACCTCAGTTGAGTGGCTTATAAAATATTTGGAGAAATAAGACTGACAAAACCCATTTATCCTCATTTCACTTTCTCCCTGGACACACAGCTAACCCAAATTCCAGACTTCCTTGCAGTTACATGAGACCATATGGCAGAGTCCTTACCAATGGGATATGAGAAGTCCATACAAACCTCTGTGAAAGCTGAGCATAGGGACACAAGTCTGTAATCCCAGAATTGAGGCAAAAGATTGCCACAAATTCAAGACTGGTCTGGTCTACATAGTAAATTGCAGACCATCCAGGGCTACAGGGTGAGACCCTATCTCCAAAAAGTAAATCAAAAAGCATTTTCCCAATAAAAAGCATAGTTCCTCCTTACAAACACAAATATACAAACAAAATACCCCCAAGCCCCTACAGCAATCTTCTACCTTCTTTTTCTCCAGCTACTGCAAGATGGTATGAGGTCTTTTGTTAGCCTGGATATGGCATAAGGCACACACAAAGTTTTATCATGTTAAAATATTGCAATTGGGGGCTGTTTTAACAGCGTGGCAAAAAAAATAATGGGTTTCACTATATACCAAGATTCAACTTTCAAAACAACTGTCCCTTCTCTCTACCACCATTCCTTGTTCATGAACTTTGTATAAAGCTAAGCCTTAGAAGGAACATCTAAAACACTTTCAGAAAAGCCAAAGACTACACCACCAAAATATAATTGTAGAAAATATTTTTGTTTTTGGTTTCTCAAGGCAGGGTTTCTCTATATTGCTTTGGAGCCTATCCTGGCACTCACTCTGTAGACCAGGCTGGCCTCGAACTCACAGAAATCCGCCTGCCTCTGCCTCCTGAGTGCTGGGATTAAAAAAGGCATGCGCCACCAACGCCTGGCATAGAAAATAATTTTAAAAAGGAAAATTCACTTGGATTTCCTAAAGTTGTTGGAAATTGGTCTTTGGGATAAAATATACCACAGAAATAATCAAACTACAACTCAGCCTGAACTCCAAGTGAGTTGGTTCAACATTTCCCACACACTACTGCCTCATACTTCCAATGAGTTTGAATTCTTCATAAACCAGGAATTTAATCTCATTTTGCAGTGACATGTATATGAGTGTTCTCTTCCCATCATCCATACATATAACCACCAGGAAAAATACAACTGTGAAGAAAAATGTCATCTCACTCTAGACAACTTACTCTTGTTTTTCACAATCTGCCGATTTTCAAAATTGTAATGAAGGCAAAAGTAGAATGTGTCTCACAGAAAAATAAAAATAAAATTTCTATCTTTCCAACATTTCCTCTGACAAGTGTTAAGAGCTTAACAAAACATTTTATTGTCAAGGAAAACTTTCTTTGCATAGAGTTCTATTTCTTACTAAGAAAAAGTTAAGATATTTACAATTATTGAGATACATGCACCAAAGGAAATTTCTCATAAAAGTCAGCAACTATTCCAGGATTCGAATTCATTGGTAGAATTCCATAACATCAAAAACATTTTGCTTTAACAGCATTAGGTTTTTCTATAACTGTCTGTTAAATATGAGGCATTTCACATTTACATCAATGAAATTATAAGACTACAGATCTGAACTTTGAAGTTTCTACCACACTTATAGTAACATCCATGATATGAAGAAAGTAAGCAGATTCAGTGATTAGAACAGGATTTTCATCTTGAGGACATGGAGGTTGCTCTAAGAAGTCTGCCTAAAGGGAACTGGGGCAGGGTATACTGATGTTCTACTCCTTGACTTATACTGACTTCTGAGTGCATTCATCTTGTAAATTCACCACATCATACATTTGTGACTTGAACATGTTTTCATGTGTGTGTATACACATACATACATACATACATACATACATACATACATACATACATACATGAATACATTTTAACTTTCCCCAGGGTATAATATTGGGGACCAGAAGTGTTTCAGATTTTGAAATATATCCATAGACTTTAATAATTGAGCCTCTCTGATCTAAATATCTGAAATCTGAAATGCTCCAAAATCCAAAGCTCTTTGATTAGTAACAGTTGAAGAATTTCAGATTTTGAACTATTTCAGACTTGAAGATCAGGGGGTGCCTGCCACCTGTACTTCAATGACAAGATTTTAGAAAAACAAAGAGGAGGCAAATTAAATAAAATGTGTGCACTCTTCAAATGAGAAATATCTATAAATATTCAAGCTCATACTATATATATATGTGTGTGTGTGTGTGTGTGTGTGTGTGTGCTCACACATATATAAATTATATATAATTTCCTTTATATTCATGTTATTTAACATACACAGTGTAGGAAAAATACAAGCACATCATGGCAGCTCATCTTCATTAATGAATGTATTTTCAACAAGAAGATTGCTCCAGAGTTAAATATTAGACAAGATTACTGGCCTTCACTTGAGATTTGACTGTATTTGCTAAGGCATTTCTAATTTGAATTTGAGATTCTGTTTACAATGCTGTGTTTTATTTGTGAAGATAATGCTTATTTTTACCTGATGACATAATCATTCTCATTTTTGCTAACAGAGAGAAAAATAATCTCCTTTTGCTCAGCTAATGGTAGAAGGTCCCCCATACTCCATGGAAACACATGCACAGCAAATAAACCTATCTAATGTGCTTGTCACAGGTGCTGTGCTTCATTAGTCCTGATTTTATGAGAAAAAAACCCAGTGGAATACTTTATATAAACAGATACTTTTATTACCACAAACCTGAAGACCCATCTCAGCATTCTGTAATCTTTATAATGAGCAATGTAAGCTTGCAGAAGTTTAATAGTAGCTATCAAAGTTCTGAATATACATACTCTTGAGTAAATCAGGCCCATCGATACGATCACTGACAAGGGTGAAAAATGGGAGAATCTTACTAGGTATTAATGAGAAAGGTGAAATAAAGTAGGTTCATCTACACCAAGAAACACACCATACAATAAGAAAACATAAGGAATATGACATTTTAAAAATCAGGTGGCTATGCCTCAACAAAATGATGGGACAGACTTGGTAGACTTCCTAGGGGAGGACTTACTGTCCCCAAGGAGCAGATGGGGAGTGGAATGGGGAGGGGAAAGGGGGGATCGGGAGGAGAGGAGGGAGGAGGAAGTGGAATTGGAATGTAAAAAATACATACATACATACATACATAATACATACATACATACTCAGGCGGCTAGGTGCGTACTTTGTGAAAAAATGTCCATGATGTATAGATATCTTTAAAAACAAGTTTCAAAAGTAAAAATATGTTAGGCCAATGTAAAAGCACTTGTTGCACAAACCTGATGACCTAAATATGATCCTCAAATCCCAAAGTAGGAGACAACCACATCTTGAAAGTTGTCCTTTGATATTCGTATCGGGGCCCATAAAGAGGGCTCCACTTCATCTTGCCTCAAGGTCAGAGAGTTCAAAACGGTCTTTAGTTAGTCTAAAGACCTAAAGGTCTAAGGGTTGATGACTGCATGATGTTTTGGTTTTGGTAGAGGAGGTCTTATCTAAGTAACAACAGACTTGGGATCAGGTGTGTTTACTCTTGATCCTCAAGTCCAGATTACAGGTGTGATTACCAAATGCTTGGAGGATTAAGGGAAGTAAATCTGTTTGCTCCTTACACATAACAATAGAAGTCTTCTGCCACGTTCCCCTTTTGGTTGGGGTACTTAAGAAATGTGGAAGAATAAACTTGGTGCATTCAGTGTTCCTTGGGTTGCCCTCCTGACTCTATCCTGTGTCTCTGTCACTTTCTTAGCATCTTTACCTGACCATTCTCAATCCACTCTCCCCCTCCCTCTCAGGTACGAACCAGGCAAGAGGGCTGGTCTGACTGAAGGCCCATAAAGACAGGTTCCAACACCTTCATATGCAAATTGTGACACACTGGAATACATGTACACACACAAATAAAACTTTTTAAAATTTAAATTTATGTTGTATGGCCATATCATAATGTACAAATTTTATGTGTGTAAAATGAGGAAGATATGTATGTATATTATGCATATACAAGTGAGTCTGGAACAAGGATACAGGGATATTCACTATATCACTAGAGATGGGGATGGAAATTGGGACAAGGTTTGAGAAATATGTAGGAACTTTATATATCTTATATCTACTTCCTTATGGTCTAACTTTTTTGTTTTGGGAAACAGAATTTCTCTGTTAACAGTACTGGCTGTCCTGGAACCTAATCTGTAGATCAGGCTAGCCTTGAACTCATAGAGATATGCCTGCCTCTGCCTCCAGAGAGCTGGGATTAAAGGTGTGCACCATCACCACATCGACCTTATGATCTAACTTTTGAAAAAATACCCAAAACTGTACTTGTTTTATATTTACTATACATAAACACACATACACACATGTCCTCCATGTCCACATACACAAAATAGATACTTTCTTTCATCTGTGATTACAGTTTCACACATAGTATCATAATTTAGAAGTTAAGCATGGGTGCCTAATATTTCTAATACCAACACATGAACTGTCCTACTTGAAAATCAAATTATTGGTTAAATAATATGGAAGAGAGGGTTATTCATTATTTTTCTCCTTACCATTTCTGTGGGGGAGACATGCCATAAAGAAACAGTTCTTTCCTCAGCTTCATTGTTGATAGAAACATAAGAAGGCTGATAGACTTTGGTTGGCTCTATTACCAGAACCTAAAATAAGAGCAGATTTTTACAAAACACAGCAATCTACAACAGATGACCCTGCCTACTGAAGAAATGGAAGAATTTGTACTCAACAAATACGAAGGAGCAACTATGCCAAGCATGGCTCTAGGAGCCAGGGCTATAGCATGGCACATAAGTCCCTGGCTGTATGAGGGCACCCAGAACAACGAATGCACAAGGCTATCTGCCACACAAGGCAATACACAGTGCCACACAACACTCCAAGTAGAGTATGTCAGGGGTGGGGAAGTTGGGTCTCATCATACAGGAAGAACAGAAAGGCCTGCTTGAGAAGGTGCTACAAGAAAGGAGGAAGTTACTGTTTTTGAGAGAAATAAGGAAGTAAACAGACAGGGTGGCCAACAAGTCCAAGTAACATTAGTTAATTGGTTAAGAATAGAGGAGGGCAAAAAGGAAGAAAGGGAAGGGGAGAAAAAGAGAGCATGTAGGTGGAGGGAGAGGATGAGAAAACGAATTTCCCAAACAGAGCAACAACACATTTAGTATGATAAACCTAAATAAAGCTTACACAAGTTTCTGCTTTGTTACTGATATGTACCTATCCAGTTGGGAACATTTTAAAATTAAAACAAGATTTTAAAATGTATTACCCAGAAACAAAATAATTATAATCATTTTTAATAACTGCATTTTTGAGTCATTAATGAAATCCTTTTTTAAAACACACATATTCACAAAGTCTCATGGCATAAATATGAAATACAATTATTGAAATACAATTTCTAGAATACTTAGATATCTTACGTATAAAAATTTATGAGATGCCCATAAAACTGAAATAAAAACTAAATGAAAAGCTAAAAGCAATTCTGAATTTTCAACAAAGTTTTAAATATTAATTAGTAGTACTGGAGGCAAACCAAAGTTTAGGAAAAGACATCTTTAAATTCCATGTACAACATTTTTTTAGAACAATATCTCTTCATTTTTGCCTTACTACTTTAGAACCAGATAATTACTGTGTGTGTGTAGGGGGTGCTGTTCTAATTACTGGGGGACATTTAGCAGACTTCCTAGTTCTTACACCGTATTGTCAGTAGCATCACTTCTTACATTTAGTTCTAACAACCAAAAATGTCTCCAAGTTCTGCCAAATGTCCCTTGAAACAAAATTACATTCAGCTGAGAGCCACTATTTGAAAGACATGGGCAACTTTTTCCCAGAGGATAACTTATCATTTGCTGATTCCACAGAGGACTTATCCAAATATTATAAATTGAAATTTTCTTCCTTTTCATAGTTTTTAATAATTACATAGCATGAATCCCTAGTCTTTTTGGTTTATCTTGTTTTTTTGTTTGTTTGTTTGTTTTTTGTGTTTTTGTTTTTCGAGACAGGGCTTCTCTGTGTGTCTTTGGAGCCTATCCTGGCACTCGCTCTGGAGACCAGGCTGGCCTCGAACTCACAGAGATCCACCTGCCTCTGCCTCCCGAGTGCTGGGATTAAAGGCGTGTGCCACCAACGCCCGGCCTTTTTGGTTTATCTTAAAAGATTGGGATGACCAAATTGTTCAGTGGTAGAATATTTGCTTAGCATATGCCAGTTCCTAGGTTTGATCCCAGCAAAGGAACAACCACCACCTCCCTACCCCCGTTTCGCATATCTTACTGGAAATCTGAGTCCATTAGTAACTTCATTTGTTGCTTCAAAAATTATATCTAACCAGAAGTTAAGCCGTTCCTGCCTGGGTGAATATTCTGTAATGGGTTTCTTGAAGCGTTGAATTAACAGCAAGTTCTGAACTAGTGACCGCAGGTACCTGGAAAAAAAAATCACAAACCTCATAAACTAGATTCCTAAAGAAACTGAAATCAATTCTAATCCTTTTAAAAGAAGCTTCCTAAAACAAAGGTTTGTGTACTTCAATTCATATTTGTCACAAGCTCTTCATAGTCACTGAGCAACCACATAACAAATCATAAGAAATGCAAACAGCAGGCAAAATCAGTCCAATAAAATTCTAAAAGACAGCTTTTTACTAACACCTCAATTTTAGTACATTATATCCAACATTTTTTAGCTTTTTTGGCTAACATCAAGCATCAGTATGACATCTAATCATAGTGGAAAGCATGGGATAACTGTTTTAGAAAACAAAATCAATTAGTTCAACATAAAAAAGCAATTACAAAATGGAAATATGTCAAATCCCTTTTTAAAAACTTAAGTAATTTGTAATAGCCATATCTTGGAAACAACCTAGATGCCACTCAACTGAAGAATGCATAAAGAAAATGTGGTACATTTACACAATGGAGTACTATCCAGCGATAAGAAACAATACATCCTAAAACTTGCAGGCAAATGGAAAGAATTAGAAAAAAACATCCTGAGTGAGGTAACCCAGAACCAGAAAGATAAATAGAGGATGTACTCACTCATAAGTAGATACCAGACATAAAGCAAAAGATACCCAGCCTATAATCCACCACCCCAGAGAAGCTTGAACCCTCTTACACAAACAGATGGAAGAAGATGCAGAAATCCACAACTAAACATTGGGCCAAGCTCCTGGAGTACAACTGAAGTGAGGGAGGAGTGATAATATGAACAAAGGAGTCAAGATCATGATGGGGAAACACACAGAATCACCTCACCCAAGCTAGTGAGAGATCACTGACTCAGGTCTGACAAATGGGGAACCTGCATAAGACTGAACTAGACTCCCTTAATATAGGTGACATTGGTGTGACTGGGGCAATATACGAGGCCACTGGCAGTGGATCCAAGATCTAACTCTAATGCAGAAACTGACTTAGTGGAGCCCATTCTATATGGAGAGATACCTTACTCAGCCTAGACATGGGAATGTGGAGGGTGAGGTTGTTCCTTGGTCCTGCCTCAACGAGATACCAGGACAGACTTAGTAGACTTCCTAAGGGAGGCCTTACCCTCTCCAAGGAGCAGGTGGAAGATGGGAAGGCAAGTGTGAGAAGCAGGAGGAGAGGAGCGAGGTGGAACTGGGATTGGAATGTAAAAATAAATTAATAAAAAAGAAAAATTCCATAAGAATTAAGTATTCCCTTTTTATAATAAATATTGAAAGAATTAATATCTATGTAATACTAATCCTACCAGTAAGGAAACTTTGAGAATCTCCCTAACTCATTTTCTCTTCTGTGTTTTCATAATTATTTGTATAATTATACATATCTATAGTCTTACAAAAAATTAAGCAATCTTTCTGTTTTAAGCTATTATTGGAAATAGTATACTAAAACCTGTATATCCTTAATTCAGTATGCTCTACTGACAATATCTTGCAAATCCATAGTATAGAATCACAATCAAACTCATAGTATAGTATCAAAATCAATTCTGCCATTGATATAGTTAAGGTAGAGCCCATTACTATGAGCCACCATCTCCTGTTGCTGTCCTATAGTAATAACTACTTCCTTCCTGTCCCCATCTTCTCCCTCAATTCTAGAAATGCTTATCTCAAACTTGTTTTTTACTTTAAAAAAATCTGGCCAGGAAGACTTTCATGTTAGGAAGCCTTGATTCTGCCCACATTTTTCTGTCTTCAAACAAACTCTATATTTGGAAAGATAGTTGTCAGGCTATGGTGGTTACAACCTCTCTGGTACTAAATATGGATGGTTAATATTAAAGCATCATTGCATTATTTGTTTCTTGAGAATAAAGTATAGGGCAATCTAGAAAAGTAGACCAGCTAAAACTCTAGCTGACTTGTTTGGGTAATTACCAAGCTTTAACCATCCAAAATTGACACATTTCACAGATAGGTCTGGCCCTCATCTAGTTACTAATATTGCTCTAAGCTCTGGAATATCCTGTCTGCTAAGAATGTATTTTCCAGGGGCCTTAGGCCATGCTAGACAGTCTGCCCTAACAATATGACTCATGGTGGAAGCTTAGGTCCACACACCATATCAGTTTGACCTCTGGAGAAGCTGAAGACTGTGATATTAAGAGGAGCCACCATGAACACTTTGTACCTACATAATTCACCTCAATTAAAAAAAAAGGTGAACATCAAGGCTTACTGAACTTTCCTGGCTTGCAACACTTCATACCTGACGTCACATATTGGTGATGGGAGAATTATGCACCATGCATACTATTCCACTGAGAGATGGGAATTGGAAGTGTGTACATAATCTCCTCTAGACAAATGATCCAGGTATTTTGCCATCACTGATTTAATTTGTATTATTTCATTTTAATAAGCCACAACAGTGAGTATAATAACATTTCTGAGTTCTGTAAGTCCTTCCAGTAAATCCTAATAATTAGAATGTTCTTTGGGTACTGGGCACTCATGACAGCAAGCACAACACTGTCTGTCAACTCAGGTACTGATGTAAAGGCACTAGATCCAACTTTGGGGTTTCCTCTCTTTGGCATCTACTCTATCTGGTCCAGTCACAGCAATGTACTTTAAGATTAGGATGCTGTACAAAGCAGCCATTCTAAGAGTGTAGAGACCCAATATGGATGTACTTTTTCTGTCTAAGAGAACTTCCAAAATATTGATATGGTCTGAAAACCAAATGTTAGCTTGCTCATGCTGGGGAAAATAGGGTCAAAGTGGGTATGACTGAAGAAATTCCTAGCCGCAGAATCCAACTGGTCTACTAAACTGAAAAAGTTAAGAACTAGCAGGTGAACATGGGCCATTTAAAGTAACTTAAAAAAAAAAACATGTAATATAAGGTAAACCCTAGTCAGAGAATGTGAAATCTGAAATGTTCCAAAACCCCCAAATTCTGAGTGTTGTTTCTGCACTTCTGTGTTTATTATTGCACAGTTCACAGTAACATAATCAGCAATCAGCCTAGGTGCCCATCCACAGGGAAAACATGGTATACATAAGCAATTGAGTGTTATTTAGCTATGAAGAATGGAATTATAACATTTGAAGGCAAATGGATGGAATTAAAAATCATTAGGTTAAGCAAAATAATCCAGGCCATAAAGGAAAAAATATGGGAAAATATCGTAATTTAAAAAAAAAAACCTTGAAAGCAGAGGGGGTACCATTTTGGAAAAGGAAGGAGACCAGAGAGAAGGAGGGGAGATGGGAGAAGGTAATGGGAGTGAGTACAATCAATAAGTACTTGATCATTCAGACAGAAGAATTTAACAATGAAATCCATCATTTTTCATAATCAACAAACACAATTTTAATGTTTGTGTTTTGAAACAGTTCAGATTTGAGTTAGGGATGCTCAACTAGTAAAGTCTATAGAAATATTCAAAAAGAAAAGAAAAAACAACCCAAACTCCCAAATCTCAAATGCTTAGGGTTATAAGTATTTCTGATATGGGATATTCAAACTGAAATAGATTTGTATTTTAGAAAACTCAGATAACACGCATCAGAGAAAACATAAAATTAAAATCTTTATTAAGTCATCTCTCTAAGGCAAGCATTGTCAGGATCTAAGATAACATGCCTCTTTGTCATTTACTCATCACACAAATAAAATATCTACTAAGCATTCATTATGAGACTATAGCCATCAAGAAGGTAGCCATAATTCTAATGAACTTCATATATCTATGGGGAAGTCTGATATTGTCCAGGCTTTTTCTGTGAGTAGCATACCAAGTATACATTTTTAATTAAAACAAGAGCCTATAGAAAAATGGTTCTTGGGGCTGGAGAGATGGCTCAGCAGTTAAGTGTACTGACTGCTCTTCCAGAGGTCCTGAGTTCAATTCCCAGCAACCACATGGTGGCTCACAACCACCTTGAATGAGATCTAGTGCCCTCTGCTGGCATGAAGACTGTATATATAATAAATAAATAAAAATCTTTAAATTAAAAAAAAAAGAAAAATGGTTCTCAAAGTGTGGTCCTCAGATTATCAGTAGTAGCAGCTTATAATTTGAAAATGCACATTTTCAGGGTAAACTATAGATTTACTTAATGAGACACTGGAGTTTGGGCCTCACAATTTATGCTTCCATCAACACAAATGTTTCCAATGAACAGCAAAGATTTGGAACCATTAATGCAGAAAAATGCAACCTGTACCTGGCCTTTCTCATTCTCTGATAAACACTGAACCTACTTCATGTCTTTATAGTAGTCTTCTCTGCACAGTTAAATGGCTGTTGCTGTGTCACCATTTTATTAACCAGTCTTTTTTTTTTTTTTTTTCCGAGACAGGGTTTCTCTGTGTAGCTTTGGAGCCTATCCTGGCACTCGCTCTGGAGACCAGGCTGGCCTCAAACTCACAGAGATCCACCTGCCTCTGCCTCCCAAGTGCTGGGATTGAAGGTGTGTGCAAAGTGGTTTTTTTTTTTTTTGTAAGAATTATTTATTATGTATACAGTGTTCTGTCTGCATGTATACCTGCAGGCCAGGAGAGGGCATCAGATCTCATTACAGATGACTGTGAGCCATCATGTGGTTGCTGGAAATTGAACTCAGGACCTCTGGAAGAGCAGCCAGTGCTCTTAACCACAGAGCCATCTTTCCAACTCCTAACCGGTCTTTATTACCAGTCTTTTAGTCCCAATTTTCATTGGAGATGAACATCATCCCCCCTACCCTAAAGTGACTTTAAATACTCATCAGGGTGCCACAGGAAGGAGTTGGGGTGAGAGCTTGTTACATGTATGAAGCTGCCCCGAGAGACAAAACTGGGTGGGGGGAGGCGCTGTATGCAAGGCCACTGGGGTATCCCATCCCTACCACAGAATAAGGAAGTAGGGTAGAGGCCCTTTCTGGAGGGTCTCAGAGCTATGTAGGAGTCAGTACTTCCCTGGAGGTAAGATCATCTGGGAGGGAACTGAGGAACAGCTCCCACAATAGCAGTGGCAGGCCCATGGCAGGCAATGTCTTCCTTAGCATTGCTGGTAGCTGGGAAAACCTAGGACCAGAGGTCCTTTTAAAGGATTAGCTGGCTGGGGTTCTACAGGAATAGGGGTACCTTGTGGAACAGCCAGGCATTATAGCATCTGAGGAGAATGCCAACACCCTGGATGAAGGTCAAGAAAATACTCCACATCACCACAGAGCCTACCATGGCCAGCGGACTAGTGAGTGCTGCCAGCTCAGGAACATCATTTTCTTGATGTTCTTTTTCAGTTTTACTACATGTTTTATTACAAACACATACTAAAATCAAACAGCATTTTTCTCTTGAAGACACAAACTAAAAGAAGTCAAGAGGACTGACAGTCTAGTATCAGGGATAGAGCATGCAAGGATACATTCCAGGTGAGAATATATCTGTCTATTCAAACCTGCATATAAAAATCTATGAACCCTCAGGACTGTTATGTCTTATAGCTTCTTTAATGAAGAAGCATTAAAGGAGATGAAACAGCAGTAGTTGCTCTGCTGTATTTAACATTTTCTTCTTGAATGAGACATTTCAGAACAGGTTCAGATATGGAGACATGTGATTACTAGGCACACATGGGACTTACCAGACTGGGGGTTTCAGTTTGAATAACCTCTCTGCTGCCTGGACAGCTTTCCCAACATCACTTGCCAACATACTGACGGTGAAGAACTGACCTACATCCCAGTAATTGTTCATTTTCTCCAGGCTCCCTTTTCTTCCCAATAAACTGTTCAGCCGGACACCTTAAGAATTTGAATTTTGATATCATGAAAAAATTTTTCCTAGTGCCGCCATATTATACAAGACTTTAGGAAAAGCACAAGTAGGCATTTTATTTGGCTGCTGTCTCAGGTATGCTATTGGAAAGTGACTGAACATTAGTTATTTGATCTCTCTCTCTCTCTTGCACGCGCGCGCACACACACACACACACACACACACACACACACACTCTTTCTATGTAACCCTGGCTCTCTGGAAGTCACTATGTAGACTAGGCCAGCCTAAAGGAGATCAACCTGCCTGTGCCTCCTGAGTGCTGGGATTAAAGATGTATATCACCATACCCAGCAAATTGAACATAATTTTTAATGTTCAACTTGTATAACTAAATCATAACAACTGTAATAATAAACAACTTTACCTATTTTCCTTAGTTCCATTGAAGTTTCAAACTGTTGTCCAGCAACTATCAGCAAAACTGCAAGGTTAATTCCCGAATAAAGAGATGACTGGAGTTCAAACCCTTTGCGATACCTATAATTATAGAACCACCAAATTCTTATTACATCACCTTATTTATTGAGAATGAAATGCATAGATAATACAAACTACCTTTACATGAAAATATTTATTACTCTGATGTTTTATAGTCCCTCTCCTAACCCTGATGACAGGTACACACATCATCAATGTTTTGAAAATATAATAGCAACACAGTAACTTAAACTAAGAAGATTTTAGTTTCTCTCCCAAGATATTTTGATTATGAGAGTCTATTGACTAAATGAATAAGGAAATCATAAAATCATATGAAAACACACAAAAGAGATTTAAAATCTATGATAATCATCAAAAACGACCATAATTTGATACCTAAGTCTCATTTTAAGTTAAACTCCCAGTGTACACTGGGTATTTTTATTTTATAGAAATGGCATCAATTATGGGTTATTTCTCTTTATGCCATTTGCTTACACTATCACAACATTGAAAAACTCCTTCATGTATGAGGATACTGCCTGAATCTCAGATCCTAAATGGCTATCAATGCAAATGTGCAGGGGAGGTAAGAGGTAGGGAATTTACCATATTAGGATAGGGAATGAGATAAAAATAATTAGGCGTACCATTTTAAAGGAAAATGTTTACAGTTTCATTTTTAACTCTCCCCCTTCTTTACTACACATAAAATGTTTATCTATTAGCAAGTATGACTCCTATGATAAGGAAAAATAATTTATTCAATGGAGTATAAACACAAACACAGTGGAATACCAAGGATCTGCAAATCAGGAGTGATTTACTTTTCATTTATGTGACAAGAGAATTTAGTGACACACTAGTTCTTAAAGTGGAAAGCTATCATTTAGTCAGTTACAATGTGGTTTTATGAACTTTGGAGAATACTACAAAGTACCACCATACAGATTAGAGGACACCAAGAAAAATCACTGCTATTCCACTCAACAGAATTCCAACCTTTCTCTCACTCTTCAATGTTCTAAGACTTCAAATTTCATATCTTACTGTATCTTCCTATTTTTCTGTCACAATGAAAAGTTATACCAAAGCTAAGTATAGTGAAGGTTCATGCCTCTCTCTGTTCTCAACATTTGCAAGGCAGAGGCAAGAGATTTACAATTAACTCAATATCAACATCACCTTAAAGTAGAACAGGTGGGCAAAGAGAGGGTGATGTGGAATCACAGTCTGATAGAAGTTGAGCTGGAGATGTGTCCTAAGGTATGGGTGTGGCTGAGAACCCCAGAAATGTTATGTGCATAAAATAAGGTGGCAGAGATGTAGCATATTTCTCTACTCATTTGCTTTTGGCAGGCCGCATGACTTATTTTTAACAAAATGTGGCAGAAGTGAGTTCAAGTGAGCCCCTGAACATCAGCCCCAAAGGGCCTTGCAGCTCCCACCTTCACTTTCAACATCAGCTACCAAATATGCATCTTAGGTTTTCTAATCTTGCCTAACCTTCAAGTGGATAGCAACTTTTTGGAGTGAGGCCCTGGAGGAAGTGCCTCAAAATCCCACAGAATCACAATTCTCCAAACAAACAAACAAAAAAGTAGCAATGTGAAGCTACTGACATTCACAGCTTTTGTGTAGTAAGTAAGCACAGCAGGGACACTCCCTAAAATATATTCATTGCCTGAAAGGGAGAATACTACTGTTAAAAATGAATGTCAGATGTCATGCCTTTGATTAAAACTTTCTAATGATGTCCCTTCTCATGTAAGAGTAAAATAATCGTCTTTATGTTTCATTTCATTGCTCTTCTTCTGTCTATTCCTCGCCGTCACTAAGTGTGTCCAGCATACTTCCCAGCAGCTTTGCCCTTGTTCTTCTCCTTACTTGGAACATTTTATTCATCATTATCTGTGAAGCCTTCACTCCCTTCATCTCTTTTTTGGCCTTCTCTAACCTATTTAAAAACACAAACTGGGGGGCTGGAAGTATAGCTCAGTAATGGAGCACTTGCCTAGTATGCAAAAGGTCCTGGTTTGATCCCTAGTACCTCCAAAATGAAACAAATTAAAATTTCAGAACACTCTTCCAGCCTTCCTTTAATCCTCCCTCCCAGATTAACTCCCCTGAAGCCTTCACCATCAGCTGATACCCTATAGATTTTATTTGCTTGCTGACTTCCCTTACCAGCAAAGCAAGATCCCCAAAGATAAGGATTCATGTTTGGTGTGTCTGCATCTCCCACCTAGAAAAGTATCTAGTACAAAGTAAGCCTTGAATAAACATCTGTTGAATAAAGACAGGCAGACATGGACATCACTGGGAAGATGACACCAATGGTGGTGCACACAATTCTGGAAAGGGCAACTAGCGGGAGTATGTGAAGCCTCACTCCTTTCTCATGAATGAGTAAATGAATGGGATAAGCATAAACAGCAGGCACCTGCTTCTCGTGGCTTTCTCTCAGATCCAGGAATCTGAACATTTCTAGACCACATATATTGCAATCATTTAATCATTTTCACTGTCAGTTGACAGATGCATTGAGGAAAAGACCTGGCTACTCAGCCTACATGGTTCTGCTCTATGCAGCACTGTGTGTGCTATTTACCACTCAATGGCACTGTCTCTGCTTGCATCCTCTTCACAGCCTGAATCCAGGAAGATGTCCTTGTAGATCCTCCCACACAGGCAGAACATGTCAGGAGCTGGGTGGTCACAGCTCTGCAGAACTTGGAGCATGACCTGAAGAGCCTTCTCTCGGTCACCTGTGCTATTTCTCCTGAAAAAAATACGTTATGAGGTCATAAGCATCTAATTTAAGCTGTTATGTATATATGCATTGTTTTGCTCAAAGGAAAGATACTCTAAGGCTTCTTTTTCCCTTTTTAAATATATCAACTACTGAAGAACTGTGCCAGAAAATCTCATACAAAAGTATATTCAATTCCTTTCTTGATTTTATTCTTAATATGTCAGAAGAAGAAAATCGAGGAGAAAACAGTATTAATGAGAGACTTAAGAGTCATGTCAATCAAAGGCAATATATAAACTATGTCTAGATTCATCATCAGACAAATCCACTGTAAAAAATATATATAAGTAAGGCATTGGAGAGATGGCTCAGTGGTTTAAGGGCATTTGCTGCTCTTGCAGAGGATCTAGATTTTGTTCTCGGCACCCATGTCAGGTAGCTTACAACCTCCTATTACCCCAATTCCAGGGGATTTAACAGCCTCTTCTGGCCTCTGCATGTACCATGGTGCACACACATACATGCAGGAAAACAGTCGTAAACATAAAATAAAAATAAATCTTTTAGAAAAGTAAAACTGTGAAAACAATGATATTAAGGAATGGTTATTAATTTTAGCTATGATACCATATCTATAATTATTTCATAAAAGCACCCTTAACCTTGAAATATCTATGGGTGAAGTGGAATGTCTATGATTCGTAATAAAATCTAGTCTTTGGGTACAAGAAAGTAATGGTTAAAGTAAAATAAAATTGCTTTTGCAAAAGTAATTATTCAAGTGAATAAAGGGTACACTGAGATTAATTATAATGATGATTAGTTTTACATATCAACTTGACTTTGCTAATGGATGCTCATACTCTTGGTAAAAATATCATTTCTGGGTGTGTGGGTAAAATTGACATTTGAGTCAATAGATTAAAGACTCACCTTCACCAATGCTAGCTAGCACCACTAATACATTGAGGCCCAAGTAGAACAAAAAGGCCTATCTCAATCTATTATCTCCCTCCTGACCCCCCTTTGAGCTGTGAAATTATCTTCTCCAGCCCTTAGACATTGAAGTTGCTGGTTCTAGGTTTTCAGACTTCAGGGATCACTCCTAATTCTCAGCCTTTGGACTCATTGAATTCTACTACTGGCTTTCCTGGGTCTCTGGCTTGCAGGCTGCCTAAGATGGGGCTTCTAGGCCTCCATAAACATATGATATAATTCTAATAATAAACGTATTTACATCCCTATCCCCTCTATCTTTTTTAGACATGATTTCACTTTGTAGTTCCTGGAACTCACTGTGTAGACCAGACTGGTCACTCAAACTCACAAGAGATTCTGTCTTTGCCTCTCCAGTGCTGGTATAAATATGTGTTACCATGCCAGGCTCTTCTTAGATTTCCCTATTTCCTATTGGTCTGTGTCTATGAAGATCCTTGCCTATAATCACAGTATTCTCCAATTTTGAATATTTTTGAAATTTTACATAAAATTAAAAGGTAGGTAATCATCCTGACTTAACAAATCCACTTCTAGAATTTATAATATAAATTTTCCCAACAAGTTTTGAAAAATATTTTTGTTATAGCATTGCTTATAATAGTGAACTTGGAGATGGTTGCAAATGGTCTGTTAACCGAATGGACACATAAATGTATAACAACTAAGTTATGTAATACTATGCAGCCCTTAGAATAGAAAAAATGCATACTAATGTAGAACAATATCCATTATGTTGTATGGAAAAATGCTAATGAAGAGTATGAAGAGTTCTTTGAAATAAACACTACTTACTAACACATATGTTCATGTATATAGCCAGAAGCCTGGAAGGTTAAACACTAAACTCTTCAGAAAACTCCTGTGAGGTTTTCTATAAAGTGGTAGTTTTTATGTTTTGTTAATAACTAGTCTAGTGAATCTATTAAATATTTTGTTGGGACATGCCACTCAGCCAAAACTAGACCGAAACTCACTATGTAGTCCAGGATAGCCTCAACCTCATGGCAATCCTCCTGTCTCAGCCTCCTAAATCTTGAGATTACACGTTCCAGTGACTACACCCAGCTTTATTTTAATAAATAAATAAACAAATTATTCTTCTTAATTTCTTGGTACTTGTATAGCAGGTTTTTATGTTTTCTTTCTTAAATACATACCTCAAAAATTTACTTCATTATCCAAACTAACCAAAAGACACAGATAGAATACCCAAATTAAAAAAATCAGAAACAAAAAGGGGGACATAACAACAGACATTGAGGAAATCCATAGAATCATCAGATCATACTTCAAAAACCTGTACTCCACAAAATTAGAAAACTTTCAGGAGATGGATAATTTTCTAGATAAGTACCACATACCAAAATTAAACCAAGAACAGATAAACAATTTAAATATACTGATAACCCCTAAAGAAATAGAAACAGTTATCAATAGTCTCCCAACCAAAAAAGAAAAAAAGCCTAGGCCTAGATGGTTTCAGTACAGAATCCTACCAGATGTCCTACCAGAATCCTAAAGAAGATTTAATACCAATACACCTCAAATTATTCCACACAATAGGAACAGAAGGAACATAGCCAAACTCTTCTTATGAGGTTACAGTTACCCTGACACCCAAACCCCACAAAGACACAACGAAGAAAGAGAATTACAGACCAATTTCCTTCATGAATATAGATGTAAAAATACTCAATAAAATACTTGCAAGCTGAATTCAAAAACATATCAGAAAAATCTTCCACTATGACCAAGTAGGATTTATCTCAGGGATGCAGGGATGGTTCAATATAAAAAAAATTCATGAATGTAATCCACTATATAAATAAACTGAAAAAAAAAACACATGATCATCTCACTAGATGCTGAAAAAGTCTTTGACAAAATTCAACACCCCTTCATGATATAGGTCTTGGAGAGAACAGGGATGCAAGGAACAAACCTAAAAATAATAAGGGCAATATACAGTAACCCAACAGCCAACATCAAACTAAATGGAGAGAAACTCAAAGCAATACCACTGAAATCAGGAACAAGACAAAACTGTCCACTCTCTCCACATCTATTCAACATAGTCCTTGAAGTTCTAGATAGAGCAATAAGACAACACAAGATCAAAAGGATTAGAAAGGAAGTCAAACTCTCGCTATTTGCTGATATGATAGTTTACATAAGTGACCCCAAAGATTCTATCAGAGAACTCCTACAACTGATAAACACCTTCAGTAATGTGGCAGGATACAAGGTTAACTCAAAAAAAAATCAAGAGCCCTCCTATATACAGATGGCAAATGGGCTGAGAAGGAAATCAGAGAAACATCACCATTTATAATAGCTACAAATAACATAAAATATTTTGGGGTAACTCTAACAAAACAAGTGAGAGACCTGTATGACAAGAACTCCAAGTCTTTAAAGAAAGAAACTAAAGAAGATATCAGTGCTGGCACAATTGGATTCGGACATGCAAAAGATTGCAGATAGATTGCAGATAGATAGATTTCTCCATAAATCCAGCCACACTGAATCTTCTAGAAGAGAAAGTGGGAATTACCCTTGAACAAATTGGCACAGGAGACCGATTCCTGAACATCACGCCAGTAGCACAAACACTGAGGTCTGCAATTAATAAATGGGACCTCCTGAAACTGAGAAGCTTCTGCAAGGCAAAGGAAACAGTCAGTAGGACAAAACGACCACCCACAGAATGGGAAAAGATCTTCACCAACCCCACATCTGACAGAGGGCTGATTTCCAAAATATACAAGGAGCTCAAGAAGCTAGCCACCAAAACACCAAACAATGAAATTAAAAAGTGGGGTGCAGAACTAAACAGAGAATTCTCAACAGAGGAATCTGAAATGGCTAAAGACACTTAAGAAAGTGCTCAAAATGCTTGGCCATCAGAGAAATGCAACTCAAAACAACTCTGAGACGCCACCTCACACCTGTCAGAATGGCTAAAATAAAAAATACCAATGACAATCTATGATGGAGAGGATGTGGAGAAGAAGGAACACTCCTCCATTGCTGGTGGGAGTGTGAACTTGTAAGACCACTCTGGAAATCAGTATGGCGGT